CAGGGATGGGGAAACTACGGCCCGCGGGCCAACTGTGGCCCGCCGGAAGATTTTATCCGGCCCGCGGACAGAATTTTAACTAGCCGATCAGTGGCGAATATATCTACTTTGTTTAAAACTATTTTTGTTGATTTCTTTTTTAACAAAGTACTGATGACCTTTTCACTTTCTCTATTTTTGTTCTACAAAACATAAATTAATTAAAATAGTTAGCACAAACAGCTTTAACTGGTAAAATGTTGAAAGCAAAAGTTCTTTATAGAATAGCTGTAGATTAGCTCCAACTAGTATTTGTCTTTCTCGAGGAGCAGACATATGGAATCTAATATAGGTGAATTGTACTTCACATGAGGCTGACTACGCGTTTTAAGTTCCAACGAACGGATTTTTCTGCCGGCTCTAGTTCTAACATAATTTACTGCGTATGGAAAGGTTGCACACATACAACGTTATTGTAAATAGTGGTGAAATTATTAAATGTATAAAATGGCTACTGCCTTTTTGAGTTATTTGTAAACTTTTTTTATCCCAAAATGGCAACTAAAAAACGCAAAGTTGATGTAGAGTGACATGCACTCAATGATGAATTGACTTTATTTTATTTCAGAAGTTTTTACTCGGCCCACCAAACTTTTTTTTCTAGATTTTTGGCCCACGACCCAAAAAGTTTGCCCATCCCTGGTTTAGTTGGACCAAAAGATCAAAACATAGCAGAATTAAAAGTATGAGTAAAATACTCCTTCCCCTTGAATCTAGCCCAGTGCAAGAGCATACAGACCCACGAGTGCCAGATAGAATGACCTATTCGAACAAATAAGACGGCAGCACATCGTCACGGATTGTGTTTGAATGAACTGTGAAAACGTTGAACGGATCATTGAGAAAAATTATGCTTTTTCTGTAATTCATGGCCATAATCGACAAGGCAAAGAAAATTAATCCCTTTTTACTAAGATCTAATGGAAAAAGCACTTTTAATTGTTTTTAAAAAACAAAAATAAGCACTTTTTAAAAACGCTACTCATCGTTAATCAGTCGTTTTTTCTGTAATAAGTTTCCTGCCTTTTCACACACGAAAATAAGTTAATCAAAACGTTTTGTTATGAGAAAAAACAAAAGATATTTCTTAATTGTTTGACTTTATTCTCTTGATTATAAAACAGACAATAAATAACCACAGTTCAAATATTTACATACAAAAAATACAGAATAACATTGTGGCAATTTCTTAATGAATGAATAAATTCTAATACAATGATGACTTTGGAATGCATAGATACCATTTAAACAACTGGATAGCATTCTAGTTATGAACAACAATCAAACATTAAATTAATAAATTTTATAATTACTATTAAATACTGCAAAGACAGAAGTCACATTTAACTGCATGAATACAAATTATTTCATAAAAAAAAGAGGCAAAACTACGTTTGAGGATTTACAATATAATTACTGAAACTACCAAGCACATCTTTATAATGAATTATACTAATATCACGCATACTAACATAATAATAAATAACAAGACTAGAATTGTTCTGTAGCTAAGTTAAAGAACAATAATGAAAATTTATAATGAATGGCAGAGTAAATTTTGAAATTATTTAAGATACAATTTCCTAAACACAATGTTTCATGAAATAAACAAATTAAACCTTGAATAAATGTTTTTCTAGAGTATAACAAGCTTTCCCTGACTTAAAAACGTTCCAATGATCATCTAACATCAATTTTGTAATTTTAGAATCAACACAACCTTTGCAAAACTTCAGATCATCTGAAAAACGCCAAATGGCAGAATCTATGAGTATAAATCGGAACACTAATTACAATTCTAGTTAATTAATTTGAAAATTGTTCTTATGTTTAATCTCTCTTCATTCGCTGACTCGTCATCCTGTATATCAGCGAATCACGACCAGGATCCATGTTCCAAAGAGCCACACTGATTCCGAGGATCGAGAGAGTTAGAAGCAGGCCAATAAAAAGGAACATGATGAAAACCACAGGATACATTTCATCAGCTGCCTCGGCTCTGTTGTATTGGTTTACAACTGGAGGTTTCTAGCAATAAACGGGGAAGAAAAAGTTAGAATTCTATTCTGGTTTTTCATTACATGTTTCAAGAATACAACTACTATATATTAACTAATTTTATCAACTTTTTTACTGTGTTATTTAGTTTTAAATTGTGACATTCTACATGAGTAATAGTAGGACTAATGAGACAATTTACCTTTATTTTTTCTCTGATGATTGCAGTTAAAAAATTGTTTTACGTGATGATATATACATAGCTTGCGGATAATATTGGCATATCCAAATAATCGCTAAACAATCGATCACGAGCTGCTAGTAGCTCTCAGAAGTAGATCGTAACAACAGTCCAGTAGACAAACCTAGATTTCTCTACTGAGCAAATAAATCTAACATTTTTTTTATTTAAAAATGATAGTTCTTTTGGTTGGTAGCCCACAGTAGAATTTAAAAATGGTATGGTAGCTCAGAAGCGACTACTTTATACAATAATAGAGTTAAAATTTATCGCAACTCTTCTAAGATGTTGAATTAAGTTTAAATTGTAACATTTATAAATATTGAATCTATAGCAAAAGTACGGGAAGGAGGAGTTTGCACATTAAACTTCGATTAAACTTGAATTCAAGATTGGTTTTCAACATAAACATTTGTGGCTTTTAAAATGGTTTATCGAAACATTTGTATTTTTAACAAATATTGCAGCAAGAAAGGTAATAAGTCTTGTAGCTTGAAAATAATTTAATTGTTTCACACAAATAATATATATATTTTTTTAATCTTTAATAGTGGATTTAATGCAAAGATAAACACTGAGGTTTAAGCTCATCGAAATGTATCTAAATCACGCGCTTCGTTGACAGAGTGAGGTTAAATGAAATTTGTTTTATTGAGCGGCATTTAATTCTTTAATTGGGAGGTATCTAAAAATAAACGAATAGGGAATGATTAACTTACACTCTCATTTTACCCCAGAGTTTTGACATTAGTTGTGTAAGATACATTATAATGTATTGTTCGAGAAATTTGCCTAATAGACATATTTTTTACACCAGCTAAGTGAACCACTTTTTTTTGTGAGTGGATCAGTTAGTGCAGATTTCAAGCCTGTTCTTTTTAATCTTGCTGAAATTAATTCGTTTTCTTGCACACACACAGCACCGACAGATCCACCAATTAATTCAGCAATATTTCTTTAAGATATCTTTTAGCCAAGAAAAAACAATATTTGTCTCATCTCTTTTTGACTAAGATTAGTATTTCTCGACATTTTAACTCAATGGTCAATTTTTGTTGGTGGAACAGCCGAATGTTTGATTCTTGCTGTCAACTTTCACTCCAGAATCTTGTGACGTAAGAAAAATTTGCATATAACTATTACTGAGTGCTTTTCTTCTTAGTGTATTTATATTCTCTTTACAATAAAACGGCGTGAGAAAATTTGAATAATTAAAATTTTTCTCTTTAAAAATAAAAAAAATTTTTTCGGAAAAATAATAATTGTAATTTAGTTAAATAATTAATAAAGCAGTTTTTTAAGTAAACAAAAAAAAAAAGTTATTTTTCGTAGATTTTAACTGAAATTTCAGCAATTCATATGCGTATTTATAATTTCTTTACACACTGTATGACTTAGTAAATGATGTTCCGCGGTCAATGATATTTTAATTTTTGATTGATTAATTGCATTGATAAATTTCTGCTTTTAAGTTTTTTTTGTTCAAAATATAATTCTATTTTTTTTATTAAAAATTTCTACGTACAGAGGAAACTATGTTAATGATATTCAAGTTGAAAAATTTTGGGGAATGAAAATTTAATTTGAAAATTCATTTGAGTTCAAAATTTGAATTCTATATTTCTCCACTATTAAACCAGCTACGATTTTAAATAACTAATGTGAACGCTGTCGAGATCGTGTTGTGGTCAACAGATGTTACTTTGAGGGTATTTTGTTTCTATAATCAGTTTTATGTCTCCATTCACAAAACTTAAGCATTCGGTATCATATGATTGCTTAATTTTTTAAAAAACAATGCGAAACTTTTAACATTGTTTCAGCAATCATTAAACTTTAAATTACTAATCAAACTTTTTTTCTTTTAAGAATTCCGTCAAAAATTCGAATGTTCATTAATTTGGATTATACCTAATTCGATAATTATTCCGAAATAATCAGAGTTTTACTCTGAAAAAAAAAAAAATCTAAAAACTTGCGTTTACACACTCCCGAAGCAATTCCAAATAGATCCATGAAAGACAAAGCCACAAAATAGAGAGACCATTCAGTATTTTCTTTAAAGCAAAGTATAAAACAATAAAAGGAAATGTATCAAAAGGACAGTCTCTGTCACTTCGAGTTGGTGAACTCCCAAGAGCCTGTCTATTTGGGGAGCGCTTGTGTTCCTTAAACATAACTGCGGACAACCTGAGAGACCAGGATGTTTTTATAAAATATTTGGATTATAAAAATCCACTAAAGCCGTGTAAGGAGAAAAATGGTACAAACACAAAGAGAATAATTCTTTGACAGTCGTTTTATTTGAAGAAAAGTGTACTTGAACGACACTTGAAATTGTTTTCTTACTTGAGGTAAAGGTTGTGTTTAGTATTCAAAATTTAACTTGTAGACTTAACCCAATAAATAAACCATCCCTTTGAAAAAAAAAACTTTATAGCATTATTACTACTATTATCTCCTCATGCTACAACAGTGTACTGTAAACTTATATGAGTAAAAATATTTAGAAAATATTCATAAAATTTTTAGTTATGTTGCCAAGAATTTTTCGAGATGTCTAAAATAGATTTTTGGTTCATTGAATTTGGAGAAGCAGTTTCGGAACAATGGCTTTCTTATTTTGGAAAAATGTTTCAAACAATAATTGCATTCGTATATTTAAAACAAGAAGCTAATTATTTTTATTGAATTATAATTTTATGCTGCACAATTAATATTTTTTTGATGAAACAAATTACAATTTCTCCTTTTAGTAACACAATTTGTTGATTTTTTTTTCCAAATTAGAAGAGAATGAGAGTTTTGATCACTTTTTAGTGTAGTTATGATCAATTGGAACAGGTTCGGTACGGTTTTAAACAAAAATGAAAGCGTTGTAGCAGTTTTATTAATGTAATTAAAATTATTAAAGACGAAACAGGTAAGTTCATGTGATAATAAAATGAGCCGACACAGTTTAAAAATACGCTTTTATTATCACAAATAAATAATTTTGGTTAGTATGTTTAAAGGTTTTGGTGCAAGAGCCAGATGTGGCTATGTCGCACCTACGAATTTCGGGATTATTGGCAATTTTAAATTTTGCATTGATAAAAATGGTGTTATTTCTGAAAACCATAATAAATATGCATCCATCATCAATATGTACACTAATAACATTCGTATCTATGTGTATTATATACATAAATTTTTTTCATGACTTTTGCAGTACGAAGAATTACTTTTTTCATAAAGTAGTGTGGCCATTTAAAAGATATTAGCATTTTAAAGATATATTTAGCTGAGAAAATTAAGGAATAAATGTAATGATCGCCTCACCATGCCACACATAATCATCAACAAGGCCATGATACCTTATCAATTGAAAGTAAATGCAGTTAGATACTTAAAAAAATGATTTGCCTCCAATGGCATTGGTACAGACTAATATAGACCACAGTATGCAATAAATATTCAACAGTAAACATTCCAATAAATAAAACAATGGTCATAAATCTGAGTACATGACCCAATGTTTTTCCAAAATGAACGCGTTACAAAAAGCGAATAAGTTTGCTTGAAAAATTAATTTTCATAGAGAAATATTATTAAAACATTTATAGATAAAGTATGCAACAGAGCTGCAAAAAAAAGTAATTATTTACAATCGGAATGTTATTACTTGTAATAGGGACTTGTAATCAAGTAATAGATTCTTTTATTGATTTGATTATTTGTACTCGTGTATATAAGTAGACATAATGAACGAAATTACAAACGGACAATTGTAAACAATTGTCCTCTATCAAAGCAAAGTTTAAAAAAATCGATAAGATACATATAATTTAGTATTTTAGGACGATTTAAATCAGGGTGAGTAGCCAAATCCTTCAACAAAAAATAAGCTTAAAAATATTTTTAAGCACTATATACATTAACAAAATGCTAACTAATTTTCAAAGGCTGTACGTGATCATGATAAAACAACTGGTTTCTGACAAATAACTATTTTCTTGATTATATTAGCCACCATAAAAAGATCGATTTTTCGGTTCGATTTCAGAGGGTGGAAAATGAAGCCTGAAATGGAGAACATCTTGCAAGATGCAGCAGAGTTGCACACGAGAGTGCAAGAATCTCACCGATCCCAGCCCAGTAGACACACATGCTGATTGGCGCTTTCATATGCTATGGATCTATGGTGCGCCGAAATAGCCAGTGGTTGAATGAATTCTGAAAACGTTGAATAGAACAATGGAAAAAGCACGCTTTTGGATACTACGTGACGAAAATCGACATGGTAAAGAAAATAAAAATTCATTTTCGAATAGCCAGTGGTTGAATGAATTCTGAAAACGTTGAATAGAACAATGGCAAAAGCACGCTTTTGGATACTACGTGGCGAAAATCGACATGGTAAAGAAAGAAAAAATTCATTTTCGAATAGCCAGTGGTTGAATGAATTCTGAAAACGTTGAATAGAACAATGGCAAAAGCACGCTTTTGGATACTACGTGACGAAAATCGACATGGTAAAGAAAAAAAAAATCTTTTTCGAATAGCCAGTGGTTGAATGAATTCTGAAAACGTTGAATAGAACAATGGAAAAAGCACGCTTTTGGATAATACGTGACGAAAATCGACATGGTAAAGAAAATAAATCTCATTTTCGAAAAGGGAAAATTAAGCACTTTTTAAAAATACTCAATGAAAAAAAGCACCTTTAAAGGCTTTTAAAAAACGAAAATAAGCACCTTTAAGCACTTTTCAAAAACGCTACGCACCAAGTAAATCTGCGATATANTAC